CTGCTGGCCGCCCCTGCTGGCCGCCCCCTTGTCCGCGGCTCACCACACCAGCTCCCCCCTCCTGTTCGCGGCTCACCACACCAGCGCCTCGCCGCTCTGCTCACCACCCTGCTCGCGGCCTCTCTGCGGGCGGCTACCCATCTCTGCTGGCCGCCCCTTGGCTCGTCGCTCAACAGGCGCGCCTTTAAGTCCTTCTGACGGAGGGGGTGATTCACTGAGGGTTGCCTGTTTTTAGGGGTTTGTAGGACAAATTGCCTACCAATCCCAGGGGGCGATTTGTCAAAGGGGCGACCCCTTCGCCCCCCCCCCCTCCCCGTAAAACCGTACCTGCCGCTCAACAGCCCCTCTCGCCGCCCCTGCTGCTCCTGGCAATCCGTCTGTGTAATCCGTTTGTTGCTGCCGAGAAGAAGGTAAGGTGGTTGGCTTGCTCTGAAATGAAGTACTAGCTTGTTTGACCATTTACTAGACCAGCTCTCATGACGCCGGCTTCTTTATTTGCAGGTTCTAGTCAAGCCACGCCCCCCACCCGCCACCCACCGCGACTCGTTGTCGAACGCACGAGTGAACCTTCAAGTGGCTCGACGACGCGAACCTCTTCGGGAATGCTGCAGCAGCGTTTCCCTGCGTGGTCGACAGACGACAGGCAAGTCTCGTTAGCAATACTACTTGTTTCACATTTGGTGCGTTTGCAGTGACCCTCCTGGTCAGCCCCTGATGACGCCCGTCGGCTGCCGACCGGCGCGCCGCTCTTGGCCCAGGCGCCCCCCCATCGTCTCTAGTGAGTCGCCTGAAAGGTAGGCAATTTGTACTACAAACCCCCTGTCTGTAGGCAATCCACAGGACTACTTTCTGCGGAATGTTTTGGTCTCAATAACAGCTACCTTTTATCTTTTCAGATTTTTCTCGGTGATGTAGCTGGCCAACAGCTTGCAGCTTCGACTACTTTTTGATACCACAAGTAGAAGTAAATTTTTCTGGGAGCCACCACATCCCACCACACTATGCATGCTGTTACTCCCCAAGGCTTCAGCTCTCTACTTCAATTTACTTTCTGCCATTCTTTTTGATTTGTCTGCCAACATTTCCTATTCTGAAACATCTAAGTTAACGTAAACTTTTGAATCAGGTGTTTCTGTTATCTAAACCTATGTAGCTTTAGTACAGAAACTTTGAATAGTTCCGTTTCTGCATTGATTTTGAGATTGAAATTTGGATTCCCTTTTTATTAAAACTCATTACATTTTGACATCTATGTTGCAGCCGACATTTCAATGCTACCCTGCAACCAAACGGGATCATTTCACCTTCTTCAAATTTTAAGACTTGAAACTGATCATTATACTTTGTACAAATATGGGACACCTAAGCATATAATGGTCAACAGCGTTTATATATCACTGTGTTTCGACTATTGGACTTGCTATTATTGACTGACTCCTCTCTTTTGTGTGTGTCCTTATATTTTTTGGCATAGCACTTCACTGAATGGTCGTTTGTTATGGTTGTTTTTCTATTTTTGGTATTACGTTTCTGTTTGCATGTTTGTGGTTGTGAATGTGGGGCATGGTGTAAATTCTGTGTGGTATCTTCTGGAATGACTTCGACACATTAGAACCCTCTGCCACTTTCTCTGCATCCAAATCATTCCACAAACTTATGTCATCTAATCTAAATGAATTATTTGTATTCTGCCATTGATTGTTAAGAATATTTCAAATTATTTATTGCCACCCCAATGTTAGGATACACTTATGTGCCAGTGCTTGAGATACAATTTTGTATCTAGTTTTATTTGCACTGTAATTCAATTATATTAGTTTCTCACTTTTGTTGCAGTATAACTGAAACTTAAAAGTATTTAGTTTAACGATACTCCTAGATTTGTTTGTGATTGTTAAACTTCGTTCTTGAACTTTCAGTGAAGACCCCTTGATTCCTGTTGATACTAGTTTGTCAATGAACTCAATGTAAAACATTTTTTTTACTTTCAATTTACTTAATTTAATTTGGTGAATTTCTGCTTTATCTGCATAACTTTATTTGAATTTGTGTGCCCTCCCTGTACTGTACTAACTAGTACCAACTATATGACCTCTTTTTGTCTGCAACTGTTACGCCAACTGTTCTACTGTGCTGCTAAAATAAATTTCTCGCTCTCTTGAGCCAGCCCTTTCTAGGAAATGTTGTTTACCTGCTCCTTGCTCCTCATGTTCACTCGAGTTGCTAAGTGATTGTTGGTACAGCACCATGGAAGAAGCATAGTTTGAAATAATTTAATTTTTATTATGCATCTCATGCGACATTTTAGTTCATTACTTAAATTATTCACCTGGCACCTGGAGCACCTCCAATTAAAAACCGTCAAGGTCTGGAATAATTTTGCCAAGTTACATCACAAAATTAAACCATTTTTTCTTACCCTCTGATGCGGGCTCGCAGGGGTTAGCTCCTTACCTTTCGACCAGTGGACCGACCGTAACGTGGTTTCGATAATAATAAAAACACACAGGCGTTTTTAGTGTGTTATCCAACTGTCTTTATTGTTACTGGTCATAGTTTAGGAACAATGACTACCTCAAATACGAAGCAGGCTTCCCTTGTTTTCTTGGAAGACCAAGCTGTGCTCGTGGTCCTAAAGCGGCCGTAGGGAAGAAGCGGAAAGTTGGGTAGAGTCCAATTTATAGGCGCATTGTCCATGATGTTCGTTTTCTACAAACAAAACGGCAATACCTTGACTTTTTGGGGATTGCAACCAAAACAGTCTTATTTTGATTCGTTCACATTTTTTAATATACGAAAAACCGGAATACTTACTTTAGGGAACGTACAAGGCGCCTTGCTCGAGGCACTTACTTGGTAAAACGTTTCGTACAACCCAGGAAAATTATTGCGCACTGTTGAACAGTAGGCCTTGCGGATGGGGTAAATTATCGAATTCTCCTTCCATTGATTGTTGGCCCACACATCCGACTTCAAATTACCCTGAGCACAAATAGATGTATTTTACTCGGATAAACCGCGATAGCTTATTTTGAAGGACTTATCATGGCATTAGTTTAGAAATACTGGTTAGCTTGGAACTTCAAATTTGCTGCAAATCCTGCCCACCGTGTGCAACCGTGTGCAAGACAGTACGAAAGGTTCGGATGAGGTCAGGGGTCAATGATTTATTGGCATCCCCCGATTGTCACTCGAGCTGAGGGCACCTCCTGTATCACTCACCGCCCACGTATCGTCCACGACGGCCTTCCATGTGCAGTTGCCGCTGATGGTCTGCAGAGTCGTTTGCACGAGGGACGGGGTCCTGAAGTGCGACGGCCTGATGTGCACCTCGAACATGTTCTCCTTGTCGCTGGGCGTTGGGCAGCTGTACATCCGGTCCATGTAGAGGACAAACGGCCCCTGTGGTCCCAAACAGTGTCACTCCGTCCTGCCAAAGGCGTGGGGGGTTGTCTCCAACGGCCACAAGGTGGGTCACCTTTGCCCGGTTTGAAGGTAGCAGAATGTCTTGAATCCGTAGGGATCGTCCAGGAAGTTCGTCAGTTTTTCTCAGTTCATTCGTCAAACTTCAGAAGCTCGGCGCCTGCGAGACTCTGGGTAGGCCAACCCGCGCTACACGCATGCACTGCAGGCTAGGTGTTGCCTACCCACTAGGCGCTAACAAGGATACGGACGCACTGAAGGACTTCCTGGATGGTCCTTAAGTGACAAGTAGTTATCGATCGATGGTTGGCGAACTAACCGCATAGGAAGGGATCCACTTCGAGGGGGTCGCGCGGTCCGGGGGGATCTCGGCCCAAACCGCATGGAGTGAGAGAAGCGCAGCACAGCGAAGCACGCACCTCGCCATTCCGGCATGGCGCTGCCGCCCCCTGAGCGCCACGCTCTGGAGCCGGCCGGTTTCGAGTTCTGAGTTGGTCCGGCGCGCGACTCTGCGTGACCGGCTCGGAGCCCCGTGACCCGCGGAGAACGGGTATCGGGGGCAGTCTATCTTTACTGCGGGAGCTGTTGGTTTTAGTGCCGAATGAGCGAAAAGTGGAACAATGCATTGTGGACATTTTTGATGGAAATACACTGGCGCTTTTTTGTATTAGACAAAAGAAGTTATTGAGAACATTTTCGCCTTATATTGTGTGATCATAGAGTGGGGATCCCGAATAATTTCGTTGTTAAACTGTATCGCGTGCGGCCGTGCAGGCGAGCTTGCCTGCCGTCTCTCACAACGGCGCCTTATGGCTCCCTGCGAGTGGGCAACGTGTCCACATGGCTGCGTGTGGTGCAGTACTGCACGCTGAAAACTGTTCCTTGATATCCAAGGACCATCGGAAGGATTCAAGGACGGGATAGGGAAAATTGCATGGGACGTCCTTGAATCGTTCCGATGGTTCTTCGACGAAGGAACAATTTTCACCGTGTGGACGGTACATCCACTCTCCTGTATATGTTGCGTGTCCAATTCTAACACTCATATTATAGCGTCCATAATCGCCTTCGAAGCGATGACCGATCTCTCACCAAGCGTAAAGCTCATGGACTAATGGAATATGACTAGTTTCGACGGTTTGGTCTGATTGAGTCTAATTTAAAGAAAACACAGGGG